ATGGCACGCTGGTGCCAACAAGTTTCATCAATCATGTTGGGAAATCCAATGGAAAACCAGATAGACTCCAAACCTAAAGGGCACCGTCGTAGGTTGGAGGCCATCGCTAGTAGGTTGGAATCCATGAGAAGGTGGTTGGTTTCCCTTAGGGCCGAACTACCGGATCTGGTTGGAGCCCTAGGCCCTAGCAACTCCTCAAAGTGTGATTCCGTGATCTGTGAATAAATCACATGTGTGTGATGGTTCCAGATAAGGTCATGATAACTCAGGGTTCAACAGGGGACCTGCGGACACACCAAGTTTCTGCACCCACCCGAAACCTCCCTCTCACCCACCCACCAAACAGCCACACCAGAACATCCGCCTGCGCTTCCAGTGCCTTTCGCTGCCTCGGCCGGTCTTTCCGAAGCGAAGCGACCGCCCGACGAACCCCGACGCCCGACGGCCCGTGTGACACGGCTTTCGTTTCGAAGCGAAATGGGACGAACTGCAAAAGAACTCAAATCACGGGGATGTTCCTTTAACCTGACCCACCCGGAGCTTGCATGATAAGCCCAATGGCCCCCCCCCCCTTCAGCCCCCCACCCTGTGATCACAGAACTTGGTTGAACATAGTGAACAAAAATGCAACTGCTCCACAGTGACTGAGTCATCCACGAAGTCTACCCACTCATCATCTCCAACGTGATGTCCCACTGACCCCGCTGCCACCCATATGAAACTTATCAAATGAAGCTAAAGGGCATTACCATTCGCTAGTAGGTTGGAGGATGTTGGAGGCCATCGCTATTAGGGTAACCAAGTGCAACTCAGAAAGCGCCAGGCCTCGTAGCTGGGCTCTTCGGGAGCACACCATGCAGAAAAACAAGCACCGCCACATCGGGATCCCACTCATGAGCTCATATTCCATTAAAAGTATTATGAAGCTTCATGAAGTACAGTATCTATATGCCTTAGATTGCCTTAGTATGTTTAACAACATATCCAACCAATCCGAAAACAACAAACAACATATCCAACCGATCCAATTCCGCACTTCCGAAGAAAGGGCCCTGTTAAACAACGGTCCCTTCCGAACCCAACTTCCCCCCCCGGTCTCCAAACGCGCCCAGCGACCGAGCTAAAGCACCCCAGGTGGCTTCCAAATCGCTCTCGTCGCCTACGACGTCGTACGCGACTCCGCGACTCGCTCGACCGGTGCACGGGGGAATGAAATGGGCGAAATGGCGGATCTTTGGTGCAGTGTACAGTGTATGGGTGCCAAATCAAGCGGCATATTTGGTTTGAGGTACAATAGAACTTTGTAAAGGGGTGAGTTTTGGAGGAATGGATGACATGTCCTGGGTGTAAGGTGTCGAGGTTGCAAGAGTTCACAAGCCCCAAGCAGCTTAAAATGTCCTGGAAAAGGGACTCTCCATATAATCTGATTAGATTGACGTGTACTTGAGTACTTGAAAATTTAGAGTGAAAATGACCCTGAACATGTCCCATTCGACAAGGCTATCGGCTATCGGGATAAAATCTGTAAGTCACAGAGATCTCCACGGGCCAAGTGCAACCGGCGGCTTAATAGCACATGCGTAATCTCAACCAAAAACCCGTCACTTGTCCTTGTAACAAAAAAACTGACTGATGTCCTGAATCATGTCACGTATCAGCCGCAACAGTCACGCAAAATAAACTATCACACGGCAAAGATGGAACTCTGGGGGGCAAAACAAAAGAGATGGTGATGTGCACATTAAAAAAGTAAAACATTCCATGAACTCAGGGTATGCCGGTATGCCTGTCCTGAAAGTATCCCAAAGTATACTTATACTTTCCATCTGCTAAGTGGTGCCAAGTTGCTGCTATCACTCTCAAAGGCCTGCGTCATCATCTCCTCTCCGACCTGTAATCGACCACGTGTTACAATCGAAAAGCCATAACTGGGCCAAAACAAACAAACAACAACACAGTCTCGCTGACGTCGTCTCGGGGATACGTACGACCACACGACTCCCCGAACGAAGCCTGACCGGACCGGGCCGACGCACGAAGTGAAGCCAACGTGGATGGGAAACGCACCCCGATTTGAGGTTTTCCATGGACATTGGAGTGTACATACACCACCCTCCAACAGGTCTCCTCTACAAAGGGCTGTTGGGCTTTAACAGTCGGGTGCTGGTAACGGTCGATCCCTCCCCACTCTTTCGAACGGGCCCGAAAAACGGCGCTGGACTGCCCCACAAACACTTTGGCGTTCCAAAAGTCACGTATCGTGCCTCTTCGTGTGAGGTCTCAACAAAATGATAGGCACTGACCAATCGAAACCTCAATCCGGTTCATTCCTCTTGATCTTAGTGATCCAAAATGCTTTTAACGCAAAATAGAAGCTCGCAGCTCAACCCAAACCAAAGGACATCGCCGGTCATCTTGACCCTGAGGCTCACGGCTGCCTTTTTTCTGTCAGTGCTCACATCCCAAAGTAATGACTTGGTTAGAAGCGCTAATGACACCCAAATTCAGGGACCTTATGTCTTAAAAGCTCAACCCCCCCAAAAAAAACAACCCAAACAGTTGCTCCTCTTGCCTGTAAAACGATGGGAGCTGAGACCAAGGATCGGAACATCGGCAAAAGTCTCTGGTGAGTCCATTGCGATTGGAACCCCAAGAAATGAACGCATTTCACCAGGTGTTTCTCTCTATGAACCACCCAGGAACCCTGCATGGGAAAGAGTCAGTGTATCGGGGTCCACCGTCCAAAAAACAGGCTCAGACCTGGCACCTAGAGGAACAAAACATCGGGTTTGCTGCAAACAAGTCGACAGGATTCGAAATTCGGAAGGTGCGGTTGAGGAAGGCGTATGTAGCTAGACCTCCCAGGCCTTCCGACCCCTTGGAAGAAGGAAAATAGGCTACCAATTATACGTTGGGGATCTGCCTATGAAACTTCGCAGCCGTATGAGGCACCTTCACAAAAAATCGTCTGAGCCCAGTGGCCGTCGTTTGTGGCGTAGGGTCTTCATAGTCGTCGATCCTTAGCCCGGCGAAGACATCACCGTGCGAAGAGGTGCTAAAGCCGCTACACCCGAGAAGATGGACATGGGACCTGAAGACTATGCACCTTTGGAAGACGATGTTGCTAAAAAAACACAGTCTGGTTTTCGGGTTCCATGTGGGTCTCGGAACCAGGGCTTAAGCAAAAGGACATGACACAAGTTGTCGTTGTCGTTGTCGTTGTCGCTGCTGCTGCTGCTGCTGCTGGTGCTAGTGGTTGTGGTTTGGTTGTGGTGGTGGTTGTGGATGTGGTGGTGGCGGTGGTGGTGGGTCTTGTTATTGTTCTTGTTCTTGTTGTGTATGTCAAAGCACTTTGAGACTCGAGGTACGACAAAACACCAATACCAATAACAAACGAACTACCAAAGTTGTTCAGCAGTTGCCGTTGTCTAGTGAGTCAACGCGTGCCACTTCAAAAAGACATGTCGGACGTGGCGATTTACAGGAAACACAGAAAAAGAACGTTTCACAACGAGCAAGTTGAATGAAACTCAAGGTCTTCAACAAACTTAAGTAAGCACTTCCACCCTATAGGTCCAAAGACTTGGGATCAACATTTATCATTGTAGAAACCCGTGTTCTTTCAGCTTCTCGAGGTGCACCGGAGGCATCTTCCGAAGGGTTCCTGGCCTAACTCCTGACATGGTTGGGGTGGGTGCCAGGGGGGTCTAACTACCTTCTGAGGATGCGGTTGGAGCATGTTGGAGCCATAGATGTTTCGCTTTGATGCCCCTCATCCCCAAAACATGTCTGAATCCAAGTCACTTTCGCCAGTCCCAATTCGGCTCATTGAGATCTTCTCCAAAGACATCTGCATTTGGCTTCCTTAAATCATCCAAAGTTCATGAGAACTGGGATTCGATGGGCTCGAGGAAAGGAACATGATGAATATGGAGAGGCACCCTGAGTGTTTTTCAAGGCAAATCTTGTGATCATGTGTGATTCATCCTTCTCGGATTGAACCCGATCCATCCATCCTGACCAGGTCACAGTGAGTTCTACGTGTCGCTCGGGTGGTTTCGTGTCCGACCTTCGATCCCTAAAGGTGCCGAGCATCAAGGAGCTCCGCGTTCTCAGCTGGATATTCATGTCGGCTTCAGGCTGAGAATCCCAACGGCCACGGCTTGGAACACAAAATGACAGAACAACACAAGCAGCTGGTGGCTGAAAAGCCACGTCCTGCGGGCCTCCAACCTACTTGTGAAAAGGAAACAAGCTACAATTCGGCCAACCAAACGAATCAATGTTGCTTCAGGTCTGCAAGCAGATGGGTCTGGACCCATCCAGGCCAGTGAGATGGAGTTGGACCCGTCCAGGAGTTAGCCCAGGAGTTCCCATGATTCTCACCAGGTGCTTGAGCTCGACCCATCCCATCCCAGGTGATCTTCAGCACTCCATGGAAGTATGGGGCGACTGGAAGTCAGCTGTTCATGCTGTTTATGGGAGACCACAGGCCCACTGCTGTTCATCCCATCTCCGTGACCACGTCACCACGTGCGGAGCGCATCAAATCGAGAACATGACATGGGTAGGTGAACCTCCAACACCAAGGGGCCTACCACGAGTCGACCTCCAAAGCCACCAAGCGGCTTACCAGACCACTTGTAAATAAAGCAGCAGCGCATGATACAGCTGAACATGTTTCTCAAGTCGCCAAAGCTCTTTTCTATTTCTGAGAATAATCACAAATACTTAACAATGTGTTTGTTCACATCATCTGGAAACCCCTTGCACAAGCAACAACAGGCTGATGGTCCCTCAAACCGCGCACCCAAAGGACAATGCTCAGGTCAACCGCTACAACATTCAAAGACCAAAATGCTCCTCCAAACATCTCAGATCTGAAGAAAAACACATTTATATAAAAGGAAACAACAAACCCGAACCATACTACTACTATACAACTCTTTCACCCCAGCTGGTCAGCCTCCACCAGTGACCAAGTTGTCTGACTCTCCCGCCTTCAGTTCACGGGCATTTGCTCGAACTCCGTTCACCTCCACCAAGTGGTGCCCACAAAGCACCTCCAGCCGTTTCGACAGACCTCGATCGGAGACAGAACACAATACCATCGTCAGACCTGAGGAGCACCGAGAGCTTTCAGACCTGTTCTCTGTCTGACCTGGTACTTGGCAGGGGGTGCTTCAAAGCAGGTGGTCCTTCTTGGGTGCTGGGGGAGCTTGGTTGGTTGCGGCTGTTTGTTGCCCGACTGTGAGGGACGGTGGGTGTGCTTGATTGAAAGGGTGGAACCAGCTGCTTCAAATAGGTGGGCCAAGCTTGAGGCAATCTGATGAGTGTGCAGTGGACTTCATTTCCAACTTCACATGGTGGTACAAATTCAGGTCTCATGGGGTACTGCCAGCGGGTAGTACATGATTGTCATGTCAATAATCCTTGGGTATGCGAACGAAATTCAGCAAAGAACTTGCGAAGGCTTCCTTGACTTGGAATGCAGGAAAACCGCTAGAAAGCAAGACTTCAACCTTCTTCAACCCTTTAGCATCCTTTAGCAAAAGAAACCAACTTAACCAAGTTCATCCGATTTCCAGCTTTGTCAGTGCCATCGGAACGGGGTGGAAAACAGGGTGACGTCCTCGCCCAACACCTTACGACTCTAGGCGTTCAATTGTCAACCTGTTCAAGCGCATCAAAACCGGCTTTGGGCCAAGGAGGCTGTAGATTATTGCCTGATTGACACAGTACATTACAATATACTTTTGGATTGTATACTGTATACAGGAACCTGACAAAGTCATCCCCCAGTCAACCCCAGGAGCTAATCCCAATGGAACGCTGATACCCGAACAAGATTTTCCACCAAAAAGTAGACGTAAATGCAAAATAGAACACCGTGGGTTTGATTGATATGCATCCGCTTGTTGCCTGTCAATCCTAACGGAATGCTGCAGAAACAGCTTGTTGACAAAAGTTGGCATAATCCTTCCAAACATACAATACTACAACAGTTCCATTGCGAACTACAAACATGTAGAACTCCGGTACGGCCTCCTGATCATTGGAATGGTTCCTTAGTTGCGTGGAAAGTTCTGAAAGAGCAAGTGCGTAGGCTCATATCGGTGGGTGACATGTGTTGGAACGTGTTCAATTAAAGCTTGTTATTCTCTCTATAATAACAATTGTGCAATATAAATTATAGAGAGATTGATCTGATCGACATACACAATTTCTAAATGGAAAAATACAGTCATGAACATATACAAACATTGTATAATTTATATATCAACGTCTCTTTGATGCTTGATGTGCTTCAGGTGAACCAAACCACTCGAACATGTGTTTGTTGGTGAACCACGCCGTCGCACAGCCATCTGGAAGGGCTCATGGCGGCCCTGTCTGTGAGGTGTATCCCAGAAAAAACAAAAGAACAAATAAACAACACATGATGGCAACCACTGCTCGATGCCCCACCAAAAAATCTCAGAAAAAATCCTGCTGTGCCAAAAAAAGCCGCAAACATCTGTGGGTGACACGACATGTTTCTTTCCTTTGCAGGGCAGAACATTCTGCAGATTGAGCTGCCAGTCGTCGATAAGACCCTCTTTGATGGAGATCACCACCAAGGGATCCGACAACTCTTCACCTCGAAGACCCACCGTTCGAGCTCGATCACGCATGGCCGGTTTCTCGGCCGGCTTCGGCTTCGGGAACCGACGCGGTTGGAAGCGCGTCGTTCAAGGACGTGGTACAGTACCGTTTCATCTCTGATCCGTTCGACTGTTCGGGGATTTTTTTGGGATGTTCAGGATTTGATGTCTATACAGGTCTAAGTTGGAAAGTTGGTAGGCATCAACATCGATGCGGCGACTTCTTCTGGCATGATAGTAAACCAGTTAAGATTTAAGAGGTAGGTTTTTCTTCAGGCTTCTTGGGTCAGGTCTGATGGGAGATGTATGTGTTTGATTTCAGGCTTCTTGGTCAGGTATGATGGAGCAAATCGACTGGCGGACTCCAAATACATGAGATCGATCCACAAGATTGGTGTCTGCTCCGGCGAATTTCACATCTTGAACACTGAAGTTTGAGCCAAACGAATGCTCAGTTCTGAGGTGTTGCAGGACTAGCGTAACTCCATATCTGTCTAGCAGGTGGCTAGAGGTGTTTTGCAGGAAATTGGTCTTTGTTCTGGCGTTCTTAAATTGTCCAAATGTCCCAATTGTCCCATCAATTGTCCCTGAATGTGCATATACATGCATATACCATATATTTTTCTGATGATGTATGAGATGTTCTTTTTACAGCCAAAAGCAAACGCCTGTGACTAGTCATGCCTAGATGTATGAGATGCCCAAATCAACAGGAACCCTCCTCACATCCCCACGTTCTCTCGATGTTCCCTCCTTCTGCCACGTCGATGCCCAGCTTTCGGCCGCCACTCCTGAGGGTAGCTCGCAGCTCGGAGACACAGCCGCCACATATCGCACCTCCCAGCCGTATCGCACCTCCCAGTTCGGGGTGAACCCCGGAAACTCCTAGAAACTGCATGGTGTTTTGTAGGCTGACCATCCTTTCAAAGCGGTGCTGGCCGTTTCTCTCATTTCGATGTTTACTCACAGCAGCCGACATGACTTGTCGCTTCTATGCACCGCCCAGCTCCCAACCGCCCAAGCTCCCAAGCTCCGCGGGTGGTGCACTAGCCGAATGTTATCATCTATTCCCCCGGCTTTTGCAAGTGAACTGCTATATAAATGGGTGGTAATGGAACCACCCCAACCAACGGGTTGTGGTGGACTTTCCTTCTGGTGGCGTCTTGTGTGGGGTGTCTCTCGATCATATCATGGATCTTCCTTCCCGATGCAACAAAGATATGCCTTTTTCATCAGCACGTCCAACCCAAATGCGTCCATTCGACAGCTGGAAGATCCAGGAATCCACACAATGATGAAGACGGAGCATTGGACGTCCCAAACGTCTTGACCCCCCGGCCATAACCGACTTCGACCGGTCTCGCCCCCGCTTTCGTTTTCGACCGGTCAGCCTGGAAGTGAGATTGGGGAACCTCATGGAACCTCCTCCCCCCATTTGGAAGGTGAAAACGTGATCCATTGAGGTCGTCAATGAGTCGTGCTTTTCCGGGTTCCTGTCGTGTCAAGGTCCGTCCAACGACTCCGCGCATGGTCCGCATGCTGAAAGCAAACTACGACTTCGTGTCGTCCTGAGTCTCAGTTTCACAACTCTGGCAGCTCGACTCCGATCTATAGAAGGATCTCGTTAGACTACACATGCTCATCTTACAAACATGACCAGCTTTCGACGATCGGCGCTCCGAAAACCGCCCAAGCTTCCGATCGACCGTGACCACATACTCCCGGCTCGGCTCGTTCTCATTGGGCGCGTCGACCATGGAGACCGCACGGCGAAGGCTGGGGGGGGAGAGAGTGGTGGGTGTCATGGTGTTGCACATGGATGCATACAATGAATCTCAGCACTCTTAATTCATTGATTGTGCTTTTAGTTATGTATAATAGTATGCGTTCTAAATCTTGGAGAAGCTTATTGAATAGATTGCATTAGTTGAGTGGAAGAGACACCTATATAGGCCATCCTAAGTCAAAACCTTGGCATGACATATTGGGACAACTTTTGAACTTTAGATTTATTATTGTCTGAAATATTGCTGTCTTTGCCAAGAAACCAACTTGCGACAAATCATGATACATTTCCCAAGATGCTACTCGTTCCATGTCTTTATTGCTTTTGAAGACTAACTCGTGGTTTGTTCGTCGGTTGGATGCTTGATATAGCGTTTCAGCCGCGTTGCTTTCAGGATCCTGCAGCCAGCAACGATGGGATGGAAGGACTGGCGCAACAAAAAAGAAACCATGGCTGGTAATGTAGACTCGCATTTACCCCCCCCGCCATTTGGATGGCAAGACATCTTCATATTTGAGGGGTTACCAATCAGGATGTTACATTACTGCTGTGATGGGCTTCCTTTCAACCTTGCTTGAAAATTTCAACATCCCCTGCAAAGTTTGAGTTTTGACCTCGCAAAGTTTGATGAGGCATCCTGCGCAAGTGGCTTTCTCCTTCTATAGGGTTCACTCTGGGTGGCTTCTTCAATCGCCACAGAGGGATGTTCGGACAGTGGATGATAGCACAAGGCTGCCCTTCCGGTGCCTTCCGGATCCTTCGGGAATCGGGCAACTCCCTCCAACCCGCACGGGAGTACTCCGACCAGGTGGAGGCAAGCCTCCACCAGGGCCGGAGCCGCCGTTTTTTCATACTTCGACCTATGCCGGAAGCCTGCGTACCAGCGCCCATATCGCTCGACGGTCGCCCGAAGCACGGAGCGGTGTCTTGGTGTCGGTTTCACGGCGGTGCCTCGGTACCCGAGCGATACAAAGCTTCACCGGGATGAGCTGACGCCAGCGGCGGAACTCCGTCGCCACCTGCGGCCGAGTTCATCAGCACCGGTCGTGGTGAAAAGGGACATCTCAATGGAGTAATCCTCGTTGCTACCAAGAAGAGACGTTAAGCACGCTTCTTTTGAGTCAAACATGTCGTATTACAAAATGGGTGCACCAGGTCAGGTGTCTTTCCAGTCAATAAGTCAAAGAAAGTAAAACATAAAAAATAAGATACACATCAAATGGGTCTCAAAATCCATACATATCCGCAATCTTCAAACAAACGACCGCGAAGGACATGCAATCATGAAACAAACGACCGCGGTGTACAAATAGGGGAAACATGAAAAACAAACAAGCGCACATCAAGGCAGAACATGTTCTTTTTGCAGCTGTCGCTGTTGATTTCATCCATGCTTTTTTAGAGCTTAACATATAAATCAAGAAGCATGAAACACATCAAGAACAAACCAGCCGCTATATATATATATATTGTAGCCATTTCGGTTCTTTTCAAACAGTCTGCCACTTTGGATTTCAGATCTTAACGATGGAGATGAGTCATGTTTGACGACATGTTCCAAAATTGTTTCTGGCCAGGAATTCGATTTTGGCACTGTCACTGTCGCGTCGGTGGACTACGCTGAAGGCAAGATAAAACAAGAAACAACTAGGATTCATCAATCAAAGCATGTGCCTCATCTTATTTGATCTTAATTATTGATTGTATGCGGCCTTTGGTAGATCCCTCCCAATGACAATATCTGTTTGTTGTCGAATAGAGATCAGTTGCAAACAAGCGGACATACAATAAAAACAATATGATGCGACAAACATGTCCAACAACATCACAAAAGCATAGTCATTATATACGATAAATCGCATATCAACATATCAAATATGTGTTGGATTTTCAGGCACCCTTGTTGTTGCACCGCTTTTGTCGCATTGAACCTCACCATCGCGCGCATCCATGAACACCAATTTAGAGGACGCGCACGGAAGAAAGGTGTGACTTCGTGCAATTTGTGGCTGCTTCGTTGATCTTTATATATATATATATATATGCAGATATACATATATACCTTTTTTTGGGAGGGTCTGAAGCTTTAGGTAGGGCCAGGGTTCCTGATTGTCAAAGCGAATCAAATGAACAAAAATGATGCTCTTAATCCAAAGGCAACATGTGAAAACATGGAGCTTCTTATCTTCATGTGCGCTTGTTTTGTTTTTACTTTCTACTATTTGTTCATGATTGCTTCATAGTCTGCATTCTTCATCATTCATTTCCCTGCCCACTTTACATCCTTGCTTGGAATTTATATACAAATGCTCATCAATCGAGAATCTGCCAAGCTTGGACTTCCTTTTCCTTCAAATTGCTGATCAAAGCCTCAGCTAGATGGGACAATACGGTATACGTCCCATGTCCCATGTCTGGCTCTGCAGCGGTAAGCCCACGGACATGTCGGTTTTCACGGCCATGGCGGGCCATGTTTAGCAGATTCGGGACGCTCCCACGCACGTTTACGCCTTGAGCATATTTTCCACAAGGCCACCCTCACACCTGCGTCGTGCGCAACGCATGGTTCCAAAGGGCGCCCTTCCTTTAAAGGAGAATTGGCCCGGACACGGGTAGACCGACGGCTGGTGACAAAGGTATATACAGAAGTGGATTTGAAAAGCAACGTGTTTACAGAACATACACGTACCAGAAATGAGTAGAACACTGATAAAATGGAAGTGGACACCCAAAACAACACGACGTGAGAAAGAATTCCAACAAGTTAACACATGAGTAGTGAGCAGCAAATGCTCAAACTCATTGTTCTAACATTGTTCTAACCTGCAAGGTGAGATGCATGGACTTCTTGATATGGTACGTGATGTAAATATACATTGCTGGTGAAGAACATGATGCAGCTTTTCTTCGCTCACAGAATGTGGTTTCAAAGGCCCAATGCACTGTGCGCGAAGGCCCAAGGGGCGCTTTCCACACTTCCCCGTAAGCCACATCTTGGCAGCCTCTTCTTTCAATTTCATATAGATACCTCTATTTTGGACCACCAACCACCTAAAATAGGGTCGTTTCCTATCAAAACAAAGGTCCAAATGGGTTCTAGGTATATATATATATGCCTTCCGCCAGTCTTCGGGGATCCAACGCGTACCCGCGCCATGGTGTTTTGTGCGATCGCAGGGCTTCAAGATTTAGACAAGTTTCGCCATCTTGGATCTCAGGTCCTCTCCAATGTGTTTCACCAATGTCACAACAACTCTACACCATTTCAGTCCACCTTCTCCTTCCTTTTGCAGTCGTCACCCTCCCTCCATATCCGTCCAGTCACGCCGCAGGTCCACGCGGTGACGGGTCTTCCTTGCGCCGAGGCGCCACCAGCGAAAGCCCGGAGGAGGCACCTCCGGTGGAGGGCCTCCCGAGCAGCCGCGTGGGGGCCAGGGGTGCGACTGGTGGGTTTAAACATGGGCTGTTGACCACCTGTCCTGGTGTTTCATCCAATGATTTACTTCTGCAATTGATGTTTGGAATTCCAAGACTTCGCCCCAAATTCCTTTGCAGCATTCCGTCATCGTCCATTCGACATCGCCAACGATCAAAGACAAACCACCAAATCAACGGCCCGTGGCAAGCCACGATTCGACTTCATGCACCGAAACCACACCAATATACATACAGTAGGGAAACAAGATACCAAGAAAACATAGTACATGCATAAAACAACACAATGTGTTTGAGGAAATGAGATGTTAGTATATGTTAGTATATGTTGGTGTTTTGCTTCTCTAGGTATGTGATGGTATATGAAATTATATGTAAATCATTCTGATTCTTTCATGTTATTCCATGATACCAGAAAGGTGGCAGACCCGTAGAAGGACAGCTGACAGCTGACAAACAGCTTGCGGACTACGGCACAAGCGATGCTTGTAATCTGGGTGGTCGAACGGAGGTGAGTACGTACTTCCAGAGAATGGTCTTCTCTGCGGCCTTGCAGGACATCCAATTCGGATAGTCATGGACCCTCAATGACCCTCAGAACCTTTTAGACCATGTGGGGCGTTGAAATAGGTTAAGGGTCCTAGCTCAAAACAAACACGCGCCTGGCTCTTCGGCCTCCTGCACCGGCTCGGGCTCCTGGGAGACATGAAGGCCAAAACGAAGAATCCATGTCTTGGTGAAATCGGTTCTGAAGGATCAAGAGTCCCAAAAGGCAAAGGATCAGCGAAGTTGTAGATCTTAGTGGATGTATTCGATGTGTGGAGTGGGTACTTCAATCTACAGAAAAAAAGGTGCTCACTTCATTGAGCTACAGTGCTTCAATGGCAAACTTGATGAATGCCTTTGAGGCACCATATGACCTTGCTTGATTCCGTCTCTGAAAACATCCGCCTAAAATAAACGTACTCTCTCCAACTGGGATGGAACCCGGGCGGGTTGAGGATCGCCAAATGGTGAATGTATTCCCCCTCAAGTCGACTCACCAAAGGAAGAGCCAAGTCACAGATCTTAACGAACCTGGCGTACCGCCAAACACATGACATGAAATGAAGCACTCCAGTACACAGTTCGGGTGCTTGATTGGTGTGTTCCATCATGTTCCATCTAGTCATCTCATAGGGTTTTTTCATGGCTGAGGGGTACATGAAGAACCCCTCAGCTGACGAAAAAGACCACGCCTTCGGCTCGGCTTGCTGTGAGGAGGCGGCACTGTTGGGCCGTTCCTTCTTCTTCCCCTCGCGGGCGATGCTTCGCAAGGCGGGTGGGTTCCGCAGAAATCGGCGGATTCCGCATAAGGGCAGCGAAAAGAATCCACACGGAAAGCGCGGAGGATTGCAACTGAAACTGCTGGATTTAAATGCAGAAACCGGATTTTCTTCTTCTCAGAGCCTTTTGGGAGAAGAAGGTATATCTATATCCCTTGTCGGTAAAAATCCAGTGTTTGCAATCATTTCAATATATTTCAACCTTTAACGC